GCATGGCTACTTCACAGATCAAACCCTGAAACAACCCCTGAGCTGATCTAAGTCAGGGCATGGCTACTTCACAGATCAAACCCTGAAACAACCTCTGGGCTGATCTAAGTCAGGGCATGGCTACTTCACAGATCAAACCCTGAAACAACCTCTGGCAGGGCTGTCAACCCCCGAGATATTCAAATCTGGAGAATTGTTAGGGAAGGGACATGATGTCACAGTGTGTCAAAAAGCGCGCGAAAAGACGTCTTTCGCTTTGTAACATTATTGATGTGATGGGTTTATTTCTGACCAATCAGATTATCGCTTATATTACAATGGCCTACTTGCAAGAACAGTTTATGAGGAACGTTTTGATTTTGTTAGCGATTTAAAATAACACAAACAACACAAAATAATTGGAATTTTATGGTTGTGAAAGTCGAGTCTCATAAGAAATGGTCAGCTTTGGGAATTATCCGGGAGATTTGAGACTCTAATCTGGAGACCGGGAGATACGGTCCAAAATCTGGAGACTCCCGGTTTATCCGGGAGAGTTGACAGCCCTGCTCTGGGCTGATGTAAGTCAGGGAATGGCTACTTCACAGATCAAACCCTGAAACAACCTCTGGGCTGATCTAAGTCAGAGCATGGCTAATTCACAGATAGAAGCCTGAAACCACCTTTGGGCTGATCTAAATCACGGCATGACTAACTCAGAGATATAACCCAATCTGATCTGTTTTTAAAATTTATAGAGAATGCAAGAATAGAGAAGGAGATGAAAAGGCAAAAGCTGAATTATGATGATGAAATTTCTCTGCTAAAAGGGAGAGTCACTTTCCTTGAAGAAGAGAAAGAACTCCTGAAGACACATTTCAAAGAAATAAAGTCTAAAATTTTTGATGATCAGCCAAGGTTTGTGAATTTTCTTTAGAATTTTGAATAGTACATGTAAAATAACTGATGATCAGTCACCGCCTATGATCACAGGCCAAATTACTTTTAGCTTAGTCATATCTCATTTCTGGTTAAACGTTAGTGGTCAAAATATCGACAAGGCAAAAGTTTAATGAAACAAGTCCTAGTTTTGGCCAGTATATATGTAGATATTGCTGTTATTAAATGGTTATTCTAGGCTAAAACCTTCTTAATTTATGATTATGAATAATTAGAGAGGAAAAGCACAATCGACATCAGTCACCCTGGAAAAGTCTGTAAATCAGATACAGAATCGTCCTTAACCACCAAATTGAGTTATTGCTATCAATTTAAATAATTATTGTTCTAAACTGACTARCGACTGACTAGCTAATTATACATGTGAAAACGCTTTTTTGTTTACAAGTGAACACGATTTATGTTTACACGTAAACATGAGGCTAGTCAGTTGCTAGTCAGTGCAGAACAATAGTTATTMAAATTGGTTGCCATATTTCAATTCTGTGTATTACGCTAGTATATAAATGTCTCTTCATGTAAAAGGACAAAAGAGATTGGCTACCTATATTGTATATATTCCCAAAAAACATTCTTTTTTGACACAGGTCTACCTCTCAGATTACCAAGATAAACAAGGGGGAAATGCAGAAAGATCGAGTCTTGGTCAAAAAAATCAAAATCACAGGCACAGATTCGCAAGAACCTGCTACTCTCAAGGAAAGAGAGCAAGAACAAAGTGAAAAAGAAGATGAAACCTTGAAAGAGAATGTCAAGCCAGATAAAAAGGAAAGAGAAGCTGTTCCTGAGAATATTCCAATGGAGACTAACTCGGAGGACATTGATGATGCGTCACTTGAGATTTCTTACTTTGAAAGTCCCAAGGCAAGTAAAATGAAAGCAAAAGGACGGAAAGTTGCCTCAAATAAGGTAGGGAAAAAAGCTGTTAGCCGTGAAGAGAAGAAGAAAAATCACGATGATACTGAAGTTTTAAGTAATGTAAAGAAATTGCAAGATGATTTTATTGCGGATAGGGATGTGAGTAACAAGTCTAGGAGAAGTTCCAGAAAGAGTGCAAGGGAAGATGATGAGAACGTTGTAACTATCTTGGAATGCCCTGAYGATATTGGTGAACCTTTGACACGGAGTGTACACCTCAACCCAGAAACGGGTCTGCTCGAGACGGTGGAAGTTGATGAAGAACCAGTAGTAGAAGTTCAGGAGAAGCCGAGGAAGATGATGAGAACGTTGTAACTATCTTGGAATGCCCTGATGATATTGGTGAACCTTTGACACGGAGTGTACACCTCAACCCAGAAACAGGTCTGCTCGAGACGGTGGAAGTTGATGAAGAACCAGTAGTAGAAGTTCAGGAGAAGCCGAGGAAGAATGCTAAGAGGAAAGACAGCAAGAAAGACGCCAAGAAAAACAGAAAAGATGCAAAAAACATCAAAGAAGGTTCTAAAGGAAAGTCCAAGACAGAGAGAGAAAATTTGGACAATGATCAAAAAATTGAAAATGGTAATTTGGACCAGGAAGAAGTGTTGGGGGATTTTCCAGATAGTGAAAGCATGGTGTCAGAAGGCAATGTGCAGAAGATGCCAGACAGCAAGACTCTAGCCCAAACACCCGAAAGAGAGGAAGAGCTTGGTGATGTAGGATTTCTGATTGACATCAGCTCAATGATTACAACATTTGTAAGTAATCCAGATGATACAGCATTGGAGCTACCACTTATGAGTGCACGAGAAAGAGCTGATGCACGCAAACTGGCTGCGCTTTTTAACCTCCATATCAGCATTGGCAACAAAATGGATAACCGTTCAAGCCTTAACTTGTCCAAAACATCCAACTCCAAAATGCCCAAACCTGGAAAATTAGATAGTCTTTTAAGTCAGTTGAGTATTGCAGCAGCAAGGGAGGCAGAGAAGGCTAGTGCAAAGACCAGAACCAAACGAAAGTTCGCTTCTGTTGCTGATGATGAATGCAATGATGAACAAAGCACATGGGATGACTCTCAGCCAAAAAGGAATCCAAAAACTTTTTCTCGGTCCAAAAAGGCAAGAATGTGAATCATTTTATAAAGGTACTTTCTAAAGGTTTTTAGCTTAAATTTTGATAGAGACATGCTACAAATATTTACAGTTTTAACCTAAACATGCTTACTTTTATATTATGTAATAATAACCATTATCCTGGGAAAAGATGAACATTTTGAATCAGTACTGGCTATCTATATATGGTAATGTGTCAGTCTAGTACATATATGTAGCCACTTGCTTCCATCATTTGTATGGTAGTTTATAGATGAATATCAGAATTAAGAATCATTTTCCGGACTTGATGCTTTCTAATGAGTAGGATAATAATTTAAAATAATTTTGTAATTTAGGACTTCTTCTATCTATCAGGTCGTTTCAGGGTTGGATTTGTGAGTTAGCTGTGCCCTAACTAAGATCAACCCAGAAGTTGTTTCAGGGTTCGATCTATGAGTTAGCTATGCCCTGACTTAGACCAACCCAGAGGTYGTTTCRGGGTTGAATCTGTAAATTAGCTGTGCCCTGACATAGATCATCCCAGAGGTCATTTCAGGGTTGAATCTGTAAATTAGCCGTGCCCTAACATAGATCATCCCAGAGGTCATTTCAGGGTTGAATCTGTAAATTAGCTGTGCCCTGACATAGATCAGCCCAGAGGTTGTTTCAGGGTTGAATCTGTAAAATTATTAGCCATGCCCTGATTTAGATCAGCCCAGAGGTCGTTTCAGGGTTCGATCTGTGAGTTTGCCATGCCCTGACTTAGATCAGCCCAGAGGTTGTTTCAGGGTTGAATCTGTAAATTAGCTGTGCCCTGACTTAGATCAGCCCAGAGGTTGTTTCAGAGTTCAATCTGTAAATTAGCTGTGCCCTGACTTAGATCAGCCCAGAGGTGGTTTCAGAGTTCAATCTGTAAATTAGCTGTGCCCTGATGTAGATCAGCCAAGAAATTGTTTAAAGTATTGATGCAATATGAAGGTTTTTTATTTCATGTATATCATGCATTTAAGTGAAATTTAACACCATATTTTTAACTTTCAACAATGTTGTAGCTATAATATAGCTGGTACCATACATCATGATTGTAGATTGTACATGCAAGGGGTCTATAAAATGGGGTCTCCATTGCTTTGACCTAATGCTGCAGGATTTCAAGTGTAATAAAAAATGGACTATTTCAATTACAAACCATGACTGTAAATGCAAGAGTTTTGAAGAAAATGTTGTAATACTTTTTCAATTTTTTACTGCACATAATGTTTTTAGTCCTTTTAGGTAAAGCAAAAGTAATATTTGGGGAAAAGTTTTTTTTATTAATTAAAGATATAAATTTTAATTACAAGAACAAAAAAGTTACAATTAATTATTTGTAATTTTGTCAATCAAATAACATTTTCAATTCACAAATCTGGTTCATTTTTTTTTTTCAGTCCTGGTAAAAAGCAAAGACTATAAAAAATCTAAGATCTCCATTACAAAATCTTTTTCATCTGAATCATTTTTTAGGTTGGAAATAGACTTTTCCTGAATTTTTTTTGGTGACCACGAAACCATGACTCGAAGTAAAGGTTGGATTTGATGTTTTCAAACATTCAATCTATTTAATCAAGTCCAACATTGACTTGAAGCCATTGTTCATGGTTACTCAGTGACTTCAGAAAAAAGCAATAGACCTCTTTGGCTTGGGGCAATATTTTCCCATTTCAGACCACGTGTCATTCCCTTGTGAATAAGATTCTTTGTTTGAGCTGTATCTATATTCATGTGTCTTCTCATGTGCAACCGAGCACAAACCTTAAACAAAGAAATGATACTCTAGGGAATGACATGGTCTGAAATGGGAAACCATTATGTCAGAGCCGAAGAGGTCTATTGTGCAGATCTTATTTTCTTTATACGAAGAGTATGTTTGTTTATTCTCCATCTTTTAATATTTCTCGTTTTCTCATTTCAGTCCATCTCACAGCCTAAAGGCAAAATGAACAACAAAATTACAAATCAAATTTACATCAATCAATTAGAGATGAGTTTAGATTGGCATTTTTACTTCCCACAAAAGGCAAAAATGACCATGTTTTCAAAATTTCCCCGTTGCCTTTTGCAAACTTTCTCACCAAAGACAAAATATTATTTTGTTTATCTACTACTTGAAGATTTTTTCAATATTCCTTTTCAGTAATTTGAAAATATTTTTCACTGGACTTCATTTGTGAAACAATTTTACCAACTGGATATCTGGAACTCTCATTTGAAACCTTTTACCTGGTTCAATCTCCAGGGGGTTTGAGATAAATAGAGGTTATTACACTGCTAGTTGTGTATTGCAGCTGGATAATTTTACAAGTGAAAGAGGGGGCTTGAAAAAATTTGGATGTAATACACAACTATAGCAGTGTAATAAATAGTTTATTGTTCGACAYRAAAAAACTGAGAAAGAGTGCATGAAAAACAACCATTTTTATCGTAAATAAGAAAACTTGAAAGTCACGAACTCAAACCACTAACAATAGCTGCATAAATGAAGAGGAGAAAATTTCCTTGCGCAGACATCAGCAAAAACAAAAAACGGTTCACAGACCGTGTATTATCACTGAAAAATGGTTGTAAAACAGGAAATTGAGTGTGTCGTATAATAATGGGAATTAATCCACTGTAATTTACTGTTGGCTTTTATTGTTATTTTTTCAAAAGTGTAAGTATTAGTTTTACCTCTGGTACTTGACAGTTATTAACTCTTGGGTCTGGACTCATCCAGCAGTACCTTGAGATAATTATTAGAGGTAGAAGATAATCATGACCAATCTAATAATTCATTTATGTACCCACTTACTTCATCGATCCATTTACTATTCTATGGGTACATCTCCCCAACCACCCACTTGCTCAGATCTGTCTTATCTAACACTGCCCACCCACCAAACCATCCATTCATCTCACATACTCATATTTCCTTCCATCTTGTCCATCTATTCCACCCATCCATCCCACCCATTCAATGCATCCAACCCATTCATCCCATCCTATCATTTCCAACTATCTATCCTCTCACCCATTCATCCACCCCACCCATTCAAACAATACCGACCAACCATCTCTCCCATCCATTCCACCTAATTATCCATCCCAAATGTTCAATCCATCCAGCCCATCTATCTCTCCCATGCCATTCATTTTACCTGTCTATCAACCCAACCCATTTCACCTGTCCATTAACCCCTTTCATCCATCCTTTCCATCCCATACATCCATTCCATCTCATCCATGCTGCCAATCCATCCCCGCCCATCTATTCCACCCATGCACCTATCCCAATCTTCTATTCAAAGCATATCCAGGTGATTTGAAACCTAGGGGCGCAATCCATTGTTTGTCACATCAAAAGTTTCCAAGTTCTTTCTATTATCTTTTGATAAAACGAAATATTTTCCACCAACGACGACAAAATATGCTACTTTTAAAAGATTTGGTAAATCTTTCCACCGATGTGTTTAATTTATTTTCTTTATTTTCGAGTTAAAGAATTTTTTTCGAGCTGAAAACTTGGAATTAGGAAATCTTGAACTACAAACAAAACGTTTGCTGATTGGCCAATTCATTCTCCCTGATAGAACCGATATCACCTGGATTATCTAAGTAATAAATACCCACCATTTGTCTGGCAGTTCATCCAGATTGACATCATCTKCCAACATCCTCCACTTCCTGCATTTATCACACTGCACCCAGTTGTCACAGCGGCTATACCTAGAGTAGTCCTTGTCAGACTTTTCTTTCTCCTGCTCTTGAATATGTTTTTGCTCTGGTAATTGATTCGAAGGTTGTTGCGTGTCTTGCTTGGGTTCAGTCTCAGAAATAGGTTTATTAGCCAATGTAGTACTTGTATTGTCCAGCACATTGCTTAATTCTGTTCAGAGAAAATTTTGTACTTGTTGAAAATACTTTTCAAATGATTAAGGCAACATTGAAAACACTTCTATTCATTACCACTACACATCTTCATGTACATTTACTACTGCTGCCATTGGAACTGCTGCTGCTGCTACTACTACTACTACTGCTGCTACTACATCATACTGTGTTGCTACTATTGTTGCTGCTGCTGCTGCTACTACTACTGCTGCTACCACTGTTACTACTACTCCTACTGCTGCTGCTGCTACTACTACTACTACTACTACTACTGCTACTACTACTGCTGCTACTGCAGCTGCTGTTGCTTGTTCTGCTGCTTTCACAGCTATTTATGCATATAAGATACCTTTGCAAGACCAGTTCCCATCAGAGGAAACGCTTGAATCACTGTTTCTTTCTTTGTTGCCATATCTTAAAAAAAAGGGAAATATCGAATGAAACACAATATCACATTTAGCATACTTCATATATTTAGACAATAATTTCGGATGTTTAGAATTTATTCGTAACATTCATGATATTATTAAGAGCTTATGAGGAACTCACCTTGAGCGAAGACGATGAGTCCCAACTCTGGAGAGAAGAAAAATGGTGAGTTAGTTTTAGCTACAGGAAATAGGTGGGGAAATGGATTTAGAATGGGAAGGTTCTATTGGTTACTCCTTTTACCTGGTGCCTTTCTTTGGACTCTCCTCTTTGCTGATTGACCTAAAAGCCCTGAACTTTGAACTTTGGTCTGTAGGTGAGTACTTGAAGTCTGGATATGTCTCTTTGGTCTTGCGCATCAACTCTYGTGCCATCTCCTGAAACGGCTGCTTCTCCTCTACCTTCATTGTATTCCAGTGCTCACCTAGAATAGTACTGATCCTTCGATTGTCTTTACTGGGATACAATCTCTTGAAATTCTCTCTGTTGCTTTTACTAAACAAGAGAAAAGCATTCATAGGTCTTTTGACACGGCTCTTGTTTTCTCCTTCATGGTGTAGAGCATCGTCATCTGTAGTGGGACTCTCTGCTCTCTCACTCCCGGAAGATGTATCCGAAGGGGTGAGGATTGCCGGATCCTGTAGTAGATCTAACATCGGAGAGTGTTTGTTGGCAACTCTGTAGTTATTCGTTGCAACCAATGACAGCAAGTCAGCAGGTGCACTTTGAGGAGAAGGTGTGGCTTTTAGTAGCAGTGGAGAATGTGTCAGCTTTGGTGGTGATGGAGAAGAGGAACTTGGTTGTAATTGTGGAGATGCCACTTGGAAATGTTTGCAAGGAATCTTTGAAGAGAGAATAAAACATTAGTTTTAGCTTAAATCTACTTTTACTAGATTAAACTTGTTTTTACTGTATTAATGTTATAAGATAGTGTGGCTTTACTTCTACCTTTTCTGGAGTGCCTTCGCTCACTTCCTCAGTCACTTTACTTTTGCTAACTTTGCTACTTGATGCCTTTTTTCTTTTCCTGGGCTTCCTGTGTGGTTGCTCTTCAGTTAACTCTTTGGCCTTGTCATCAATGACTTCCATAACGTCTGTTGGTGTATCGCCTAGTTGTTCTTTAAGTTTCTTGATGTGGTCAATTGCTTTTAACAAGACTAGATTTTTGCTTAGTTTTTTCCCTTTGTTGTCCTCTGGCAGCATTTGATTTAAGGTTTGAATGGCATTTCGTATTAAGCCTTCTCGCTGTCTTTGTCTGTTGAATGATAAAAAAATAGGACAGTTATAAAGGAGTAGGGGGTATTGTACTTACCTGTAACACCCATGTAGATGGATTCTTAGTTACTGTTGCTATTTCTGGTTTTCTAGAGCAATTACCCTCCCCTTCCCTGCTAATTCCTTCAATCAACAATACAATCTCTTACACTTTTTTCTGACGGTCATAAGCTTCAGGTTTTCTTGTTGGTTTGGTGTGTCTCTTTCGTGTTGTTTGCTCAGGAACTGAATTGTCTTTGTTAATTTTTGAGTCTTTTGCAGCTTCAATAACTAAAGAAATGAATGAAAATATGCTCRAGCTTATTAATGTTTCCCTTTTCCGCAGTAATGCCCTGCTAAACTAAAACATGCTGAGACTGAAACTTGTGTCAAATTTTGGGTGTATTATGGCATTGTGAGACAATTCCAAAGTTCAAACTGCACTATGTTGCATATGCCACTCGTGAAAATGTATATAAACCTCTTTGATGCTTGCAACCGAAACCTTCAGATGGTGGTAACAGTATTAGTACCTTTAGATTTTGGGTTATTTTCAGCCATCTTTTCTATGCTGTCATTAAATTCCAGAGGCTTTGGCTTTGTCTTAATACATTTGTTTTCTAATTCTTTTGATTCATTATCACACAGGTTTGGTATCCCATCTGTTGGCCACCTACAGGAGCTGTATTTCTGAGTCTAGAATCATAATTAGAAAGCAAATAAGATTTTACGTATTTGACCTCTTAGCTTCAGGCATTCTCTTGTGCATAAGATTGTGATGTTTTGTCAATATTCCATGGGCTGTGGAAGGGATGGGGTAGGGGGGCTATAGCCCCCCACTTTTTCCCTTTTCCCCCTACTAGTCTCTTATATTTTCCAATCTTAGCCCCCCCCTCCACTTTTTCCCATACTAGTCTCAATCTTAGCCCGCCACCTCCACTTTTTCCCATAATAGTCTCAATCTTAGCCCCCCACCCCCACTTTTTCCCATACTAGTCTCAATCTTAGCCTCCCACCCCCACTTTTTCCCATACTAGTCTCAATCTTGCCCCCATTTAGGTTGATCAGCGGCCTCTGTATTCATATTTCTTCTCATTTGCAACAATTAAACAAAGAAATGGTACTCTAGGGAATGAGACATGGTTCAAAATGGGATACCATTGCACCCAAGGTAAAGAGTTCTATTTGTCCTAATTTTTAATGGACCTAATTAATGGATTAATTGATAGTTATTAATAATTAATTGAACAGTAGTGAGATCTTACTGGTTCTCCTCCAAGTAGTTCTGCCATTAAAGGTGCACTACAACTCTGTTGCCATGGTGATGCTGAAAGAGATTACACAATCATGACGTTAACTATTTTCATTTGTTTTCCCATTTATTTATTCATTCATTTATTTTTACCACCAAAACTGTTACAGCTTCTGTGTTCTTGCTCCAACAACATGTGCTCATCTCTTGAAAATTCTGGTGGGATAACCTGTCGAGAAGAACATGTTCGTTACATTCAAAAGCAATATATACAACACACCCATGGTAAGAGAAAAGACATTTCTGAGGAGATTATTATTGTGTATTTCTTAAAAATATCCAAGAGGAAATGGAATTTCCAAGGGGTAGGGAGGGTCTGAGAAAGGTATATATTGTGTATTATAAAAAACTTATAAATCTTGAAATCTGATTGGTTGGGAGCTCATGCTTTAAGAGAGCACACAGCATGCGCGTGCATGTTGAGTTGCATCATTCCTATCTAAAATAACATTTATTGTAATTTGTATTTTATAAATTATGCATCGTGCTTCTCCTAACACTTCTCTCATGTTCTGACAACCCCCGCCTGTTTTATAACTGCACATGGCACGTGTACTTTTTCCATTTCTTCACTACCAGAAAATATCCATACCTCTCCCAAAGAGAGAGTAATCATTATGGAATATACACTTGGTGGGGAGGGTTCCTTCACACCCTAAGTGAAGGTGCTAGGGATATATTGAAATGTTTGGAGTATGAAATTTTAATTATTTCAATGTATAACTGCAACCCACCACGTCATTCATTGAAGTGTCTCCATTTCCAGAAAAATYGAGGCTTAAAAAAAGAAAGAAATGAGACACATAAATATAATGATTCATTTCATGTCAAGAAAATCTTTAATTATAGACCTTTTTGGCTTGGGGAAAATGTTGTCCGATTTCAGACCATCGGTCATTCTCTTAAAGAATATTCTTTGTTTGAGTTGTGTCCATATTCATGTGTCTTCTCATGCACAACTGTTAAACAAAGAAATGATACTCAAGGGAATGACTTGTGGTCTGGAATGGGAAAAAAATGCACCCAAAGCTGAAAAGGTCTATACTCTATGTATCTTATTTATTTATTTGTGATATATTTGATTAGTCATGTGCATAATTCCTTTCCGGCTTGCGATGGCCTATTATTGAAATATTTTTTAAGTATAAATTTATGTATTTAGGTAACCTAGTTCTAGCACTCCCAGTAGACCACTGTGATATCCCATGGTTCATCTGGTGCATGTTCATTGTTCCCTGCACCATCGACACAGCCTCCATGGACCAGGGAGGGATCTGGTAGCTGCAATTATCCGGAGACGACGTAGACCACTCTACAATGTCAAAGGAAAACAATGAAAATGAAACTTGTATGGATTCCGTCAGTGGTTGCAAACTGTTAATAGCAGACTAGCTGATTATAACTGTAACAGGTAAGGCTTACAACTGTAGACTAGTGGGTTGATGACATGAGAGTTTATAACTGGATTTTAAGGTACATACTTACGACTCACCTCTCATAAGCATTTGATCCCCAGTAGGGTAGGGCGAATGTCTCCAGTATTGATACTGTCCAACGTTGTTGAAACCATTAGGGTATGGTGACCTGTGGTGGTCATACTGCCAGTACATGTCAGGAGATGTTCCTTGCAGTTGGTTTGAGATAGGTGAGAAGTAATACTGATCTGAAGTTGTTTCAAATGGGATTGGGGACACCATTGGCATTGTCGTCTGTTGGATATCATACAAGATAATAATAACAATTTATAATAGATCTATTAGCCCAATGTGAATAGATTTTTCCTGAATTCGCTTTGAGCGACGCAAAAGTACCACTGAGGACGCAAAGAAACCCTGGCAGTGACCACTCTAAGTGYCAACACTTTATACTAACCATCTCTCATGATTGTAAATTGTATAAAAAGCAAACCGACATTCACAACTCAATGTAAAGCTCCTTTGATTATATTTATAGAGAAAGGGCGCTATATAAATCATAAATCAGTGTAAGCAGTTATACTAAATGAGTTAGCAAAGGATGTCACGTGATTACAATCTTCCCGCATTTTTTGCCAGCTTTGCGATCGACAAGAAAAAAATTCGGACAAACATTGTACAGAGATCAAATGCGTTTTTAAACGATGGAGAACACTTCAAATTCAATTATTTGTGGAAAAAAGTATTTATAAATTTATATAGAATTCAATTTGGTAAACTTAGGCGGTTCAAATCACTCGATCAAGACTATAAAAATTCAAACTTGAGCTTAGAAAGTAATATTAACACTCTAGTTTTAAGCTCATAGTCGATCGATCGTTAGCGTAACTTGGGCTCAGATATAAGAAACGGCGTTTCGATGAAAATTAACTAAGATCAGTAATATCTCTCAGCTCGCGGATCGCTTTCTCGTTCCTAAATCTAAAGGAGTCGGGAAAACTTGATGGCTTTCATAAGCTCTTAATCTGATGTGATAACCTGAACATCTCTGACTATCAGCTTGTGTAGTGATGTTCTTGTAGCTAAAAAACCTTGAGAAAACTCTTAGATATATTTTCTTTCATCGCAAACGATAATTCTATTAGATTATTATAATGTACCGTTTGGTAGATTGCACAATTCAACTGTCGCTGACTGTCTCCTGTTTGGCTAGACATTCACGTTTAGTCATTTAGATACATTTTTACCTTCGACGTTTTGCAAAAGAACAATACTTACAGAGTTCCTAGATATATCGTTGAAATTTCTTATATCTTCCATTTTCGAAGAGTTTTGAAAAGAAATGCAACTGACACTCGTTCGGCGCGATCAAAGATTCTTTTCCAATAGAAAAGCCCTTCAAATGCATCATGTCAATCAAAGTAAATACACTTTTCCTATTGGACGAGCGTTTTTTGGGTTTTAGAGCGCAAAGGGTAACGGGAAGTCATCAGATGACAAAATCACATCCAATTTTTAGTTTGATTTATTATTTTACAAAAATTACTTATAAATAGGAGGAGTGAAAATCAATTAAACAATGAATGATAAGATATAAAAAATTCTAATATATTGCTAGAGTAAAGGTTTACAATTTAAAAATGTAAAAACTAAAAATTTTTGTATTTTTTACAACAGAGTAACTAAGCTTACAGCTTAAGACATTTTAATTATTATTGCAGTATCTAAGAACCTAGTGTGCTAATTTAAAACATTTATCTCGGCTATTTGTTTGATAAATAATATAGTTCGTTTGGATTTGGTACCACAGCAAGCCCAAGCTCTGAAAATAAGTACTTGACTAACTTGAACATATCTAAACCTCGTCTCAATGTCCTTAAACAAACAGGAAAAAAGATGAATACAAAGAGTCTTAAGGTTAATTTTTTTAAATCTAAGGACATTGGGCATTTTCTACTTTGGAGTTCTTCTTCGAAAGAAGAGCATGGGCTTCCTGTGGCAACACCTAAAGCGATCCAGTTGTCTTCCCACAAGTGGATGGAGGTGACGTAATCATTTACAGCAGTTTAAAACTCGTCATCATTATCTACATCCATTCTGATACTGTCCAAGAAGCTTGAATGCCGTTTCTTCATTTTCCGTCTTTGCATTTCAAACATTTTTTTCTTTTCCTGAAAAACGAGAAAAATCAAATAAATATACGAATTTTATTATATAATTACCAATGAAATATCTATTTTTCTCTATTTCGAAAAATTGATATCTTCACACGTGAAAATATCATGTTATTTTCACGTGTGAAGATAACACCATTGCGATGACTATTCAAAAATACACGGAAAGAATTGCCTGAAAAAGCCAAAACATACTTCATTGATAATTATATAATAAACAGAATATTACATGGGCGCTTTGGGATACGAAATTTTTCGCTGCGCTCACTTGTGAGAGATCTTTTCAACACTCGAAGATGAATTTCGCATCTCCTCGCGCCCATGTAATATCCTCTATATTCGCACCATCTTCTGACAATTTTAAAACCTGTGACTTGATGAGCCAATCAGAGCTTTTTTAAACTTTTTGAATGACGTCATTCAAGCTAACACCAGTTCCGGTTTTATAATTAAAGTTAAATCAACCGGCCAACCTATATAAAGCGACCAAAAAAGAAGGTTTTGGCATGAATTGAAACCCCTCTATTTATCGACCACTTGATAATCTCCTAGGTTGGCCGCTTAAAAGAGGTTCTTTTGCAGATTCATTTTCCCTCGGCCGATATCTACAGGTTGAGACACTAAACCGTCCATACCTCTGCTGAAACGATAGAATCAGTTCTGCTCCGTGAAGACGGTTCCTGGTCAGTAATCGAGTGCGTTGATGCTTTTCTGGTTGACGCTTTGTCTTCATTTTTCACTACTTCTGCTGCTGCATCCTCCTGGCGAAACCAATCAAAAGTACGTAAGATAAGACAATTAATCTATCAATACATCAACCAAGTAATGTGATTTGGTTTGGCCATAAGCTAACCATTCCAACAACATGATATGTATTGCATAAGCAGTTTATTAATAAAAGCCTTACACGAGACAATTTTTCTTGAAACTTGCAACGCCATTGCATTTCAAGTTTCAAAAGAGATTGCGCGCGTAGCACCCCCTTGAAAGTTGCAGAAAAAGTTGAACGAGCTTCTAGGTTGCGAAGCAAGTAGCATTGTGTATCATATATCTCGCAACCTAAAATAACCACTGTCGCAAATGACCAATCAGAGCCTTGTCCTTCCATATCCCCGCTGACATATCCGGTTTTATCACATTCTGGTCACATTTGCTACGCCAACGCTCCCCTGTAAGTAGTAATTATTTTTTCCAAGTTCATATATACTTTCTAATACTTACTAATATGGGGGTAGAGAAATGTGAAAAGCGACAGCGCGCGCCAATATTTGTGGCCAAGATACCACGTGGCCAAGAGAACACGTGGCTAAACAAAACTATATCAGCAAAAACCGTGAGCAAACACTTCCAACGAACGTGCAGTTCCTTATTTCTTTACCTCTGTATCACTTATCCAGTTGTCTTCTTCACTCTCCATTCCACCAACACCACTGTCAGACACCTTGGACGGCGCAGCCTCGTTATCACTGGTGGAATCCATGCTAAACGAACAAACAAAATATTCAGCTTTTATTTTCTAAGGTGAGCTCAAGTTTAGTTTATTTGTGCCATTTGGAAATTTATAGCGAATAAAATATTCATATGATTGTACGTGTTTTAATGGTATAACTACRATAGCTATTTAATCTAGTCAGTTAATAATAAGCCTGAAGCGAGATGACGTTTTACCCCCGACTCTATACCATAATAGTTTTTAAAATTCTTTCATATTAGAATTTTTGATTCCTTAGAGAATACAGGAACAATAGTCATAATTAAAGAACAAAAGCAGTGTGAAAAGGATTATGGTCTAGAGACGGGGGTAAAAAGTCATCTCGCTTCAGGCTTATTAGTGTACAGTGTACAGTGTACAGTTGAACTAAGCGCATGCTTGCGACAAGATGGAACGCCCATAAAGCGCATCATAAAGGTCGCACTTTGCAATATTTTTAGAATGAGCAAATTTATTTCTGACTAGTAATTTACACGATAAGACTTTATACTCAAAAGAGCGACCGCTATATTGGGTAAACACAACATTGGTTTGCTAGTTCTCCTGAAGAAAATGAAATACTACAAAAGACACGGTCGCGATGTTGGTTGATATTGATGGTTTTCAACCATTCCCAAGAGAATTAAATAGCAAAAGACACGGTGGCCATGTTGGAGGATATGACAAAAGAATTCATTGACAATTCGTAAAAACCATCAATAACGAGAGAAACCAACAAAAAACGTTTTTTGAAATTCAGTTCAAAAAGTTCGTAAGTAAACTCTTATTTATAGGGGAAAGCTCTAAATAGCTTAAAGGCTAATAAACCTGTGGCTCTCATAAACTTGCAGTCCTCGACCAACAAAGCTGCTATAAAAATCACACTGTACCTTTTTCTTCTCTTTTCGGCTGTCATGAGTTGTGCCAGCGTGCTGTCTTGTCGAGTCAGCTCTTTTTCTGCGAAGCAAAAATACGGGAAAAACATTAGACATCAAAAAGTACTTTCATTTTGTCATATGATTTCCTACTCTTGGGGTGAAAATATTCTAAAAGAGAACAAGGGGAACCGCCATGTTGGATTATGTGTAATTAGAGTCAAACTCTGCAGCAAATTTCATCCAAAATGGCGGTTATGACGTCACATGACGCCAGTAGATGGTTTACAATCGTTTTTAAGGGAAGAAATGGCAAAAGAAATGGCTACATTCATCCAACATGGCGGCTATGACGTCGAGAGGAAAATGCCAAAAATAATAATAGTTAAAAATACTTACTGAATTTTTTAAGAAGTTTAATGATCGGCTCGTGTTCATATTCCTATTGAAAAAAAAAAATGGTTAACACAAATTACTTCAAGGAAACGTAGAGTAGAAAAAAGACCCGGAGTCTCCCCGGTCCCCCTCGGCCAYCACCACCCCATTACAAACACACACATGCACACAGAGGGCCGCTATAAAACAATTGGTTACCTCAGCGATGTCTAGCGGAGTACGACCATTGCTGTCCTCCACGTCCATTCGAGCCCTGTTTGCCAGAAGCCACTTAACGCACTCGAAATGTCCACTGAAAATCGACAACACCAAATAGTAAGGCGCTGWTTCACGAGGGAATCCTTGAATCAATTCCCGTCGCAACGGATTTGCAAGGAAAGTTTTGCACCGTGTAATACGCAGACTGTGAAAAGTTCACGAAGGTAGAACTACTTTCTATTCATGGGAATAGAACTTGATTTGCGAGACGCGATTTCTCGCACACAAGTTWAAAAAAAACTTTTCAACGGGAGCTTAATTTAATATCTGATTTTGCACCGCAATATTTAGAGAAAAATCAAGAATGCAGACGAGAGGACAATTAGGTCACTTACCTCATCGATGCCAAGTGAAGTGGGGTTAAAGAATCTATTGTTTTACAGCTAATCGCACTTCCCATAGCGGCGAGGATCTATGAAAAATGGGACAAAAGAATAAATGGATGGATGGATGGATGGATGGACGGACGGACGGATCTATGGATGTTGGACCAAATAAAGCAGAAGCGCCAGCTTAAGCCAAAATCCACAGTTATCCTATCACTCACCATCATACAGTTGACATGGCCATTCATGGCTGCCAGATGCATGGCTGTGTAACCAGTCGGAGTCTCGTCAGCCAGGTCCACTCCACTCACGGCCAACCATTTGACACAGTTTAGGTGTCCATTAGACGCAGCCAGATGTAGCGCCGTCATACCTCGCTCGTCTTGTGTGCTCTTGATGGCTGGTACTACTTGAATCAGTTCCTTGATGCGTTCAAGGTTGCCGTTCTTGGCCGCTTCGTGGATGCTAGAGCCTGGTAAGGAATAGAGAGAATAATCATGATCTTTTTGAACTTTAGCGTAAGTTAAGTTAAAATTGACGCATGCGATGATCATAGTTGATGATGGTGATGATAGTTGGTAGTGATGTCGATGATTGATGCTGCTACTGCTGATGATGATGGTGATGGAGATGGTGGTGATGATGATGGTGGTGATGATGATAGTGGTGATGATGACAATGGTCATGATGATAAAGGTGATTGTGATGGTAGTGATGATGATGGTGGTGATGATTATGGTGGTGACGTGGTGTCGATGATAATGCTACTTATGCATAATAATGATGATGGCGATAAATGAATGGTAATTTGTTAATGATAATATATGGTTGATGATATTGGTGTGGGTGGTGATCGGTAGTGATAAAGCTACTGGTAATACAGATAATATTCATTCACCATTCACTGATCACACACAAAGCATTCAATCTAGACTAAAAGGTAGTTTCAAAGGATTATTCAATTTTGAACCCTGCAGCCCCAGCTGAATACTTTGTGACTGTGTGACCAGTGACTCAATGTATGGAACGTGGTGAGTGATGCTAATTATACACCTTCCACACTACTAACCTTTCTTCAGGACGTTCTCGCTCTCACTTATCGATGCCCTGTGTCGTTTCCTTTCGTCTTCCTGCTTCTTTCGGATACCTGCGCGAAAGCCTTCCTCGAATTCATCACTCTTAGCAGAAGAAGGCCGTTCATCCTAAAAACAATATATAAGAATCAGTTCAAGTCCAACACTTTTCTATAAGCTTTTAATCGCAAAAAGACAAAGTTCTACAAAAACAGCAAAACAAAAAAAAAAAAAAAAACAAAAACAAAACAAAACAAAACAAAACAAAAACAAAACAAAACGAAACATAAAAACACACACACACAGCACATCAAATTCTATCAACCATAAGCTAAATTCCAACTTACAGATTTCTTTTCATTCTTGGATGTAAACTCAACTTTGGGTTCATCTTCGTCGCTGTCCTCTTCTTTTTCTTTCGTTTGATTATCCTCTGATGTTTCAGAAGGTTCTTCAGCTATTGGCGATGGCTGTGCAGCTTGACGGCTCTTCAAAAATGGCGAAATAGCTGTAGTTACAACTCTTAAGTGGCTCCCTGCAATTTTTTTAGGTTTATTACTTTCTTCTTCTTTTGGAGATTCTTCATCTTTCTCATCGCGCTTTTCTTCGCTTTCTTTTTCTTCTCCCTCCTCGCTGTTATTATTTTCGTCATGGCTTTCTCTGGCTTCTTCATTCTCTTCGCTTTCTTTATCYTCGAGAGGTTCGTCCTCTACTAGTTTTCGCTTGTCCTTATTTTCATCATCCTCTTCTTTAACATCTTTAACCTTCGAGTTTTTCTTCGCGTACCTTTTCGTTTTAACTGCAAATCCTAAGTTCGGGTATTTTGGTGGTTTTATCTTTTCAGCTGATTTTTCCTCCTCTGGTTTTCTGTTGACTATTTTTTCGTCTTCGCTCTGTTCTGACTCACTCTCTTCCTCAGGCTCGAAAAATCTGTCTTCGTTTTCGTTTTCATCTTGATCTTGATCGTCTTCTTCGCTAACTTCAAATATATTCTCCGCTTTTGCTCCTCTAATTCCCCCGAGTTCTTCAAGAGGCTCAAATTCTTGCTTTTTTGCTTCTTGTTTTTCTGTCTTTTTTGATTTCTTTTKTGATTTTTGTTTCGTTTTCTTGCGAGAAGCTTTTTCTTTTTCTCGCGGTGACTCTTCGCTGTCGCTTTTGGACGTTTCGCTGTCGCTTGGACTATATAACTCCTCTTTCCTTTCTTTTTCTTTAGGYAAAATTGCATCAGCGTGAGAAGCTGTCGAACAAGAATGAATGACAATGAGTTTATAAGGTAAAGAGCTCCCAAACGTTCCCAACGGTGGTGAAAAATGAGCTTTAGTGGTAAGGACGAAGCTCGAAAGAAGATAACAGGTAATTAAAGATTAAGGTAAGATGGCGATTTCCAACCTCAATTTCCCGAATATATACAATGCATTCCAAATAGTACATGGGAAGCACGGGTGTTATAAGCTGCTTTATCACTGTGGTCTAGCATTCAATCTTCATCACAGTACAATGACTTATCTTTCCTGGGCTTCGAGGGTTTTGCTCAAGGCTCTTYGGCTTTCCTCCCTCCGCAAAACTCGTCTTACCTGGTACAGTATCGTAACGCGGAAGATCTCGCATGATTTGCCCGTCATCATCTCTTGACGAGAACCATCTAAAAAAAAAAAAATTAAAATTGAAGAAATTGAAATGGAAATATCATCAGCCAATCACGAGTTGTGATTTTGACACTTAAATGATGTCATTCTCAGGCAATAAAAACGCATGGAATCGTATTATCCAATCAGAAACACTCTTGGAGTTGGGAACTTGTGGCAATGTGTATCATTACTTCTTCTCCGAACCAATAAAAATACAGGGAATCCCAACCGATAAAATAACAGGGCCGAATCCGAACAAATAGAAAATACTGGGAATCCGAACCAATAAAAATACAGGGAATCCTAACCAATAAAAATACAGGGAATCCTAACCAATACAAATACAAGGAATCCCAACCAATAAAAATACAGGGAATCCCAACCAATCCTAATCTTTGAAAATGACAAAGTAGCAAACGCATCGTAAACTTGCAATATATTCGGGAAAGTTTACCTGTTACATCGAAATTCAAAAGCCCTCGTCGCTT